CCAGCTGGCACAGCTTGTTAAACCCGGCTTTTGTCTTATGCTCAACCAGCTAACAAAGCCAGTTGGCTTCCTGGCCCTAATTGTGCGTGTTGATTGAAAGTTTCTGCTTACGAATCGGGAATGCTAGAGATTGGACCAAATTTACCTGAGCTATGTCTTTTCCCTCCTTGCTAAATAGCGAAGCCCCTAATCTTTTAGTTGCAAATCTAACTTTTGTTGTTATGCTCAAATCAATTGCTGCCCTAAGTCCAGAGACCTTAATTTTCAGTTGGCATAACATACTAGTATAAGAGAAATGTTTTAAGTGGGCTTTGTAATGTAATGCCGCAAAGCAAACAAGAAATTTAGCAATTTGCAGGAACTTAAATATTTTCCGGCTCTTTACGAACCAGAAGGCAAAAACAACAACAACTAGAAGGAGATCCTCAGCCACTTATGGCCTTTGATTGACTTCGACGCGCAGTTTCTTATGAAGTTGTTTTTGCATGAAAATCTTTTGTGCTTTTGTCTGTATTTTTCCGCGCTATTTGCTTTATTTATTCAAATAAATAATTTTTCTTTCATTTGCTGCCAAGTTGTTTTCTCTTGGCCTGATGCGTGGGTCACGCGAAAAGTTTTATTGGCGACTAAAACGTCTTCTGACTGTTTCCTGTGCCAACCCACGGCCAATTCAAAGGCACAGTGGGATAACGAGAAACTCAATGGCGTCTTTCGCTGATAAACAAACTGATTACACGCAGCGGTAAGCTGACTTCCCAGGCCATCCTCCCCTGCTGGGCAAATTGTGGCCAATTACAGTATCGGGGGTGAGTCCTGCACTATAAATGCAATGAACCCTTGCACACTGGGTCGAAACAGGTTCGCTGCTAACCATAAAGGCAAGTAAATGAGAAAATAATAGATGGAGAAAATAATAATAGCTAACGCTTTATCGGAAAAATACGATTTAAAATTACAGCATAATTTTTTTTTATTCCCCCTTTTTAATTTAAGTTGAGAAAAAAATGATTTCATTACATTTTGTGTAATTTAATATTAAATATCATTCTGATATATTGACCATTAGGTGATTAAAGCAAGGACAAATAGTCACTACTGAGTTAAGTTCATTCAGGGCTGGTCTAGACGATTTACGCCAATACTCTGTATCTTAAATCATAGCTGAAGCAAAGTAAACGCGTATTTAAAACAAATAACATCAAAAAATATATAATACAAGTAATTCACTTTAAATAAAAAGTCTAATCAAAATGATGTTAATAAAATATACATATTCCGATTAGAAACTAAATTATATAACAAATACTGGGAAAAGAGCAAATCAGTAAAAATAATTAAAATATCAAATTTAGCATTCATTTCAGCTTAAAAATTGCAAAAAATTGCAAATACTGAAATGTGGCTTCAGTGTGCTTAATAAGTTAGTGGAGTAGCTTTATAGAATTTATCGTTGCAGACTTTTAGGCTACGTCTTTAAAATGAAAGGCGCCATCGAGCGGCTAGTAGTAATACAGCCTCCTGTGGCTGCTGCCATGGTTTCCACTACAAAGCGCTTGTTGTGGGTTGCATAATTGTTAAATGCTGCACTTGACAGCCATCCAGAGAGAGAGGTAGATAAGTTAGGGAGTTGAAGAAACAACAACATGAACTTGCAATCGATATCCGCATATTGCAAGTCGAATAAGCTGTCTTCCTCCTCTTGGTTACCTTGATACTTTGACCTTTAAGGAGGGTGCATTGAATTTTATATAATTTGCATACAACAACACTGTCCTTAGATGAAACTATAACCAAATCCCCAGGTTCTCGTTCTTGTCTTTGCCACAGAGCCCTGTCGTCCAGGATGCAACTGCGTAATTTTATTCGACTATTGTTTGCGGTTCGTGTGTAAATCGTTCAGTTCATTAGCACCTATAAGTGTACCTGCCAAAGAGAATTGCATAACTTTTCACACAATGTACCAGAGGGTGAAGGGCTCGTTTGTCTCCAGCTGCTGGGGGCTTTAGTAAAACATCTGCTCGCTTTGATTGCTGCTGCTGCTGCTCCTTCCCTGCTCGCTGAGTTGTCCTTTTCGAGTTCAAGGTTTGTCTCATAAATCTCATAATAAGCGTGTCTATGGCTTTTCAATGTGTGCGGCTCATTTCATTGTGTTATTTGAAACTTTTTTCAACGCCCATTATTGGCTGTCGCAGATGGACATCTCGTTCCCTAATTTCTTTTCTCAATTGGCTGACAATTGCTCAGGTGCTTCTCATTGTTGTCTTCAGACCAGGGCTGCTAAACAGTTACATTTTTCAAATACTATAGGAGGTAAGGAAAAATTGTCAGTTTTCCTTTAAAATAATTTCCTCCATACTTATTAAAGGTGGTTAATTTTAGAAGAAGTTTCTGGCATTGTGTGAAAATATTGTTTTAAACATATCACTAAAATCTTAACACGTTGAACCGTTCTGTACTTGTACTCTTACCTGTAAGTAAGTTAAGGATTATCTTCTATATGTATAACTAAAATGTTAAATTCCTTTGCTCTGTAAAAACTAAAAATTTACCATTGAGTACCTCGTTAAACCACCGATATTCCTACATACGAGTATGGTTAGATCCTACATAGCTCCTAGATAGATAGCACAGATAGATGGATGCGATTGATATATAGATAAGAAAGATGGGATATATAGATAGGGTAAGTTAGAAATATTTGGTAGATAGAAGCATATGTTTTTTTATTTTAAATCTTTAATGTTTATTTAAGATCTGTTCTAGGTAGGACAATTATTAAATTTTATGATAACCTTGAAATTTTGTCAATCATGCTTCTGTTATTATGGTTCCGAAGTGATTCGAACCGAGTGCCTGGCCAGGAACAAACTCTTATTGTGGGATTCCTGCTAGCTCATTGAGCTGTGCAGGCCTTAGATAGCACAACATAGGTTTGAATTGAAAAATGAAATGGGCCATGTCAACATTGGATAGACCTCCTCGAAATGTAAATCTGAAAATATTTTGTTAGTTCATTTTATATGCTACGGGTATAAAAATGATGCCATATTTTCAGCCCTGGCTATATGCTGCACCCAAAACATTGAACGTATTTTGAAATTCGCGGAACGTTGGGTGAACGCACATAGAATGGCTATTATGGACCGGTCATTTACTTTTCGCTGACGAGCAGCAATAGAGCAGGAGAGGTTGTTTGTTTGTATGTGGTCCTTGCGGGGCCCAGGGTTCATCTGTGTTGCGGCCTGCAATACGTGTTTTACGTTTGTTTACGTCTGCGTATGCGTTGGCGTATGCGTATGGATGCAACGTTGTGCCCTGATTTGTTTTCTATTGTTGCTGTTGTTGTTGTTGATGTTGATGCTGATGTTTTTGCATGTGTAGCGCTGCTCGTAGATGGAAGTATGTATGACGTCAGTGGCAGGAGCAGTCGGCAGCAGCAGTCGGCGTCGCTGACACTTCAATCAGCAATTCAGCGTTGCGCGAAATGCTGTGACATCTAATTGGCTTCGGCTTCGGCGCATGCAAGGCCAAAAATAAAGAATGGATGATGCGAGGCATGAGATTTGTGCGTAGATTTGCCGCCAGACGAGCGTGAAATCTATGAGATGCGTAGACAAACAACCAGCGTAGGTGTGCGAGCGTGGTCATGGGTTGGTCTGTGTTTTTGAATTTTCGTTTATTGTCAAACCTAAAAAGCAACACCAATAAAGCAATAAGCAATATAGTAAGCAGCAGTTAGAGTGATGCGCTATGTTTCTGCAAATCGGGCCATTGTCCTTTGCCTCAGCCTTGCTCATTTTCTGTAGAATTGTGTGGCATAGAGGAGAGGAGTGCTGCGATAGCTCCAGGCCGGATAAGCGCGAGCAGCATGTTGATGCACATAAGCAGCTGCCGGTGTCAGAGGATGGAGCTCTAGTGCTGCCGTTGAGTAACTGCGAACTGCTGGCGCCAGGAGGGGCGAGACGCGTGGAGCACTGCTGTGCACAATGGTGGAACTCTGATGAGATACAGCCGTGGGCACATGCTCCACCAGATCACCCAGTTTTGTCAATGCTGGCTCGTGTACAGTAAGCATTGAGGCTCGGAAGAGGGGATGATGATAAAGCTGCACCTCGGCTGTACAGCTCCACGACAGGCAAACCAAAAAGGTGAGGAATGTCTGGCAAGCAGAGGCTACTAGTTATATCTAAAAATAAAATCGCAGTGCACTCCACATACCAATTGCTGCAACATGCTGTGCACTGTTCACTAAACTTCGTTGGATCTTGGACTGCGTGCACCACAGCCAGCGTCTAGGGCTTTTATAGGTGCCGCAGAACGTTCTAATCGCGGCTCCCTTTTCTTGGCCCTGAACAAGAGACGGCCAAGTGCAATTCTTTGACCGTCACTTGGGCGTTACAATTGCCACATATTATGTTGGCTCTTTTCTAGCCTTAATCCTGCCCATGCCTCTGATCATGGGCGCTGATTGCGCACATTTGTGTTATTTATTGTTATAGCGGCAACAATGGAGGCCGGCTTGTTTACTTTATTGATTTCCTGTGGGAAGTCCTATGGGATCAGCAACCTCCATGTCTGTCATGAACGCCCACACTACTGCCTTCAGCCAATTGTCTGATAGTTTAGAAGAGTGAGTGAGCTTTGATGAGACGCATGGCGTCATAACGTATCGGAATATATTTTGAAATGTTTGGCTCTCTTCTAAAACTCTGATTTCGTAAGTCAAACAGCTTTATAGAAGCTGAAGAGATGTTTCACCAAATGGTTAGATGTAAGAAGTGCCATTTAAGCGTGAATTTATAAACTATTTGACAGCTTCTTCAACTAAAAAAATATAAAACCACACTGAAGTAAAAAACAGCGATCAACATAGAAGATACTAAGAAAAATAAAGGATGATAGTATGACAGAAGAATGGACATTCATAATAGTATGGCTTACTACTTAATTCGCCGCTCATTCCGATGACTTCTTTAATAAAAGTACAAAAATAAAACCGATTTGATGCAGATTCTTTATTCCAAAAAAAGCGAGCTACAGAGAAGAGAGTACGAAAGATCAATTACAATTGTAGTTTGTAGTATGGCAGAAGAAATGGCAGGAAAGAGACTAAGTATTTGTTAGCTTGAAAACAGAAGCGTACGAATTTGGCATAATTTTCTCTTTGGTTTCATCATCGTGTTGCTGCCTGCCTTAACGCTTAGTTTCTCAAGACGACAACTCGGGGTTCGTTGATGGACCAAAGCAATGGCTGCTGTTGACGCACCTGCTGTGTGGTACGTACAGCGGGAGCCACAATTGGAGTGACCACACGCTTGTGGTCGTGCACAACAGTCTGGCTTTGATGCGACACAGCCGTGGGCACATGCTGGACCACCTCGCCAACTCTAGCTACTGTGGGCTCTTGGATGGTGAGGACGGTGCGCAAACCTGAGCGTGCGGCCACAATAAGTGGCAAGGGCAACGAGACAGGTACGGCGGAGACTATGCGCGAATCGGCGGCATTTGAGCTGCCATCGCGGCTACTGCCGCTAGAAGACTCGGATAGATCGTCCTCCTCAGATACGCCATTCGAGCTGGCCTCCAAGGCCTCAGCCGACTCCTCGGAAATGGCCACAGGCAGTGCTTGCGATGATTTTCCTGGGCCTACGGCGACTAAATTCGCTGGCCAGTCCAGAGTAGCTGCGCCGGTAGCACCAGCAAGGATAAGAACAATTGCACACAGAGGCAGGCACTGTAGTTAATAAAAGCAAGTAGCTATTAGGACGAACAATAAGTGCATTATCTAATCTACATACCAGCTTAAACATGGCTGATGATGCTTTTTACGTTATACTTGCTGGAAGACTGGGTTAAGGTGACTTTGTCAACTCTGGCGTCTGACTGTTGTTCGATCTTGCTCCGTGGCCCGCTTTTATAGCGCCCCGTTTGCGCTTGGCTGACCCAAGAAATGCATCGCTGATTGACTGATATCTGAATAATATACTAGAACATTTACTGATGCGCATCTTGAACGACAATTTGAAATTTATAATATAGAAATGGAAACTGAATGAATTCGACTATAGAAGATTCTGCGGTAGTTGAATGTCACACTTGTGCTGCCCCCGTACCCAGAAGGTTTCCAGATAGCTTATGGGATCTCTTGGCTGATCGCGTGCCAAAGCCAATAAGCCCTCCATTAGAACGGGCACCACCTCTTGCTCCATATACGCATGTTTTTCCTCATACGAGCGATACGATTTTGATCTTACACATTCGACTGGTTGCTCAGGCGGTGGCTTCACTTTTGGTGGCCGCTCTATTGGCTTGCATTGCACCGGTCGCTGGTATCTGGGCCAGCTCTGCGATCTAACGGCCGGCGGCTTGGGCACATCTTTCTCAAAGTCCTTGGGACAGCAGCGTATCCACTTTTTAAGCTTCGCGCTTTTGCTTTTACCACCAATAGGTGGTTGTTGATTATTCGACATTTTTCAAATCGACACGAATTCTATTTATGTATGAACAGCTGAAGGATGTGACAGATGCTCTGACGTTTTCAAATTGCCAAACAAACAGTATGTTTGAAAAATGTGAAACTTTTGATACTTTGATATTTGAAAATCAACAGGAGACCATGTAGTGTCGAAAAATGTAGCACATAGTGTGGTGTCGATTAGTGCTTATATGCTTATATGGAAAATCTAAAGCTAAGAAATGAGTCTAGCAGAGTTTTGCTACATTTATGTATTTCAGTAAAATAAATAATTCATCCATATTAAAAAAAATCACGAAGTGAAATTAAATTAAATTTCGAGCTTAAGTTCCTTATTGTATTCCTTATCCCGCACTTCTTCATCGAAAGTTCTCACATTATTTTCGTGCCATTTTGTACAACAACACTTGCAACTTCAACATTTGTTAACCCGTTCCTTCGGACCTCGTTTGTGTCTCCTCACTCTGGTAAGCCACTTAGTGTCGCACGCGGTGCATTCTTATGTAACCTGAGCCTGAGCGCTGACAATCCCTGGGGTGCGGTCAAGTCATGCAACACATCTTTTGAGCTCTTGCTGGGTTAAGTTACAAGCCGCCTATTAGCCTAACGATGCTTGATCAGGCAAGAAAACATCAGTCGGCCTAGTGCTCCAGTGAAGGGTGCACTTCTGTCAATATATCGGCGCCGCTTCTATTCAGCTTTAATCAAACTTTGAAAACGATCTTCTTGACCGTCTGTCGAGAGGTGGTCGTTTAAAAAATTTGCTCAAGTCTGAATAGAAGCCGCCGAAAAGTGCATAACGCAGTCTCGCCTCTATTAACCAGATCATGTGATCCATTCGATAGGCCAGCGACATGTATTTGAACGTCATGAGTATGATCAGCAAATAGATTTGCAGCTGATGATGTGTGAGGCCGAGCAGTAAATTACTCCGATTTACTTGGAGCGCATACAGCCCAGAAATGCACAGGGCCAGCTTGGAGTTTCTACGGATAGACACGCAACAATGGGGGTCATTAGGAATGCAAGGAATGGGACTCACTCACGTAGTCAGTTTGACGTAAGCCGCATTGTTGTGCTGGCATTTGTTAATGAGAATCGATGCCACTGGCTTAAGCAACTCCGCACCACTGCCCATGACAGTGCCAATCACAATCATGGGCACCACAGCATTGTCGTAGACCCGGCCCGCCATATTAACACCCTTGTCAATGAGCAGCACTTGACTGATGGCCGTTATGGTCGTTGCCAGAATCCGAAAAGTAGCCGTACGTGCTAGCGCATAGCCCAGATTAAAGGGGCAGTAGAAGATGACGTACCTAGAAAGAAACACCGATACAATTGTTGTTAGAGAGTCAGATCCATCGCCGCACTTCTCACCAGGTGAGCGTGCAGAAGAGCACATCGTGGCCGGAGCACAGCGGCTCTAGGGGCAGGGTGCCCAACATAATGTTCGCTATGATATCGCCGGCATAGGCCAGCAACATGTTAATGAGCCAGAGGGAAAAAGGTTGCCATTCTTGGGCATAGCGTGGCTTAATGGACGCCACTTCACTGCCCACCTCGTCGCGCAATTGTGCCGCAATTAGTGAATAGTGCAGCAGGCGGAAAAGTATGTGGTTGGGAAAATGTTTTAGAATCAGATGCGTGTTCATCATGTCCTACTTTGCCTTCTCTCTCTCTCTATCTCTTTCAGCACAGAGAGTGCTGGCTCCAAAAGCAGTCCGAAAATAACTCAAAATATATTGAGGGATCTACCACTACGAATTTTGGCACTTTTTTTGAATTTTTGACTAAGTTTAAAACGTTAAAATTAAGTCTTTGGCTAAAAAGGGAAACAAAATTTACATACACAAAAATATTTTAAAATATTGGAAATGTTTCTCAAACGAAGCACACTATAACTCTTATAATTTATATCATATCTTGCTTGATCTATATATAACGAGCAGTGTGATCAAATCTTCTATGCCAATATAGCTTTTTAATTCCAAAAACCATTTCAAATATCGATGCGATGATGTAAAAATTGTTTAAAAAATTGATTCTTTTTGATTGTGATCACCAATATTTTCTTTTTGGTCCATAAAGGCCAAGTTCTCATTGTCTTAACAATCCAACATTCCTTGATAGCAGACATTCTTAAATAATAGAAACCGCATATTTGATCTACGCAATTCTTAGAAAATTGCACATGAAGAAGAATTGAAGATGAACATCAAGAGATCTTACACAGAAGTCTATTGAAATGAGAAATTAAAGTAGTTCATTTACATTTCATAGGTTTGAATGGACTTATCGAATCAACCCCGAGTTCGTCGAGAGTGTATCTGCTGTAGGACTTCCTGTGATCCCTGTGGGTTTATTGTAGACTAGAGTTCAAATCGAGTTACTGGCTTATAGTCTACTGACTATAGCTAAGGCTGCGAGGTCCGGGTAAGAGCGAGGCGTAGCTAATGTTCCTCACTGGTTTGGGTTGGGGCAACACTTGGTGCACCACGGGTTTGGCAGCATAGGTGAGGTGTGCTGGCGTGTAGCTTAGCAGCGTCCTAGAATCTTTGAATTTGCCGACTTCTGGCTCGAAGATGGTTCGCTTGCCAGTGCTGAGAATGCGAGGTGTGGGCGTGTCAGCCACAATTTCAGTCTGATGCGGCAGAATCAGATTGGAGGAGGCCTGTGGCAATGTAAACTTGGCCGGAACGGTCGTCTGGATTAATTTGGCGGGGGACGGCAGTATTACTTGCGCTGCAGATGAGGCCGGTGCATGTGAGAGTCGTGTGAAGCTTTGATGAGACACGGCACTGCCCCCATTGTGCAAAATAACGCCTGCCTGAGTATGCTCGAGTCTGTTAAGGAGCAGTAGAGCTGACAGAATTGTGAGCTGTGGGGGTGTAAAGTGTCGGATATAGCTTATTAGTTGGTTTCATATTGCACAATAGCTTACCATACAGTCAGTATTCATGGTGTTGTGCCCCTCGAGTGGCTTCTTTAGAAACTAAATACCGTTAACGGCGTGCTTCGTCCATTTATATGTGTAGTAGAAATGCGTTTGGAGCACCATGACCATTGACAACTACATTAAACATCCACTAAGGTCAGTGTTGGGCCTTTAAGCGGGCAACTGGCAACTGGCAAGGGGCAACAGTAAATGCAAGATTAATTGAATATTAAATAAATGTTACCTTTGTACAGTATACGAGTACTTAAGGTGCGCACACATTGTAAATTAATCAATCAAGTAGCCGAAATGCTAAAAAACGTCAGGCTGGCAGCTTCGAGTTGCGTACTTAAGGTTTCATGCGCACTCAAAGTTTCAATTATTGCGCCGCTGGCTAATCACTTGGCATGCTGGTTTGTGGGTAATGCCTGCCCTGACTGGCTGGCTACTGGTCTGGCGGAGTCTGCGAAAATGGAGAAGCGAAAACACAGATAGAAATATTGGAATTTTCGAACGCCGACGTTCAAATGCCCTTTTTTGGAACTGTAACTTGTACCTCTTCTATTTTTAAGTTTTTGAGTTTTGATGCAGTATATTTAAGTGAATTGGAACCACAGTTGATCGATAAGCCAATCGGTAATTCCGGTAGATTTTAGATTGTAACTCAAAATTAACTCCGAATGACAATGCTAATAGCTAGAGGAACTGAGGCATTCAGGCAAATTCCGCTAGATAAAATATTTGATTTGAATTAGAACAGAAAATACCGAAACGGAATATCGATTGTTTAACTAATTGACTGTGCCATCTTTGGTTGATTGTATTCTAGTGTGACCGTATTATTCACCATTTTATTCGCCATTTAAACCCCAGCATCTTTTTAAATTTTACATATTTTGCTTAGGTAGAGCATCACTATCATAAATGAACGAACCATGGCGTTAGATTATGTAATTATAAATAAATTATATAAAAAATAGGCTATATATTTGAATGCAGCCAGATGAGGAAAATGATAAAATCTTTTCACGTATTTTTATGTTAAAGACCATACTTAAAATTGGAAAGATTTCATAGAGTTAATCATGAACTTAATGAAGGTATAGTAGGTATTCCTGTGATATTCGGCCATTAAATGGAAGTCTCTTCTGAATAAGTGCGGCAAAATAGACTAATGAATGTCTATTTTGTGGTATTTCAAGAAAAGGTGACTTTTTATTGTTATTTTGTATCTCTATAAGTACTTGTATGTATATTTGAAACTTATGAACGTATAGAACCTTCGACTAGCAACACCCTTTTCAGACGGTAGAGTATTGAAAACAAATAAGCCAGAGATACTGGTGACTGTTGATTTTTGTGGTGGCAGCGGTGGCTGGCGGTGTTGCTTGGTGGTTGTGGCGGTGGCTGCTCAACCTTCAATGGATTGCGCAGACGTCGCGCGGATGTGGTTGTTGTTGTTATTACCATTTATTTTTGCTGTATACGTCTATACATTTACGGGTATATTGTGTAGTTATTTATATTTTTCGTTTTGAGTATGTTTCTTGTTGCTAAAATGGCCACAAGTTGAGACACTCCCACAATTGCCAGATAATCGCGTTACGAGCCCAGACAGTGCTGCGAAGGGGGGCTATGCTTCGGCCTATTGTTCACACGCAGGTATGTGGACCCCAGAAAGCCACGCCACTGACATAAACAACAATTGCTCCACTATGACTTCATGGTAGAAAAAAGCATAAAGCACTTCAGTTCGACTTTGATTGCCGCTCGCTTCGTTGTCTGGCCGATTTGGCAGTCGCGCGGCTCAAACGCCCACATTAGCATACGTACTCGTTTATAGAAATATATACATATACTAACTATTGACGCTAATCATCATAATTTGGGCCATTATGCGGCATTTGGTGAGTGCGGCGCTATTGACTTGATTTCATTGCTAATCGAAATGCCTTGCAGCTAAAATTTATGCAACATCTGCTGCTCTTTCTGCTGCTGAACCCATCAGCTCTGTGCAGGCCAAGTTTACCGAAGCTCCTGATTGATTCGGCACCTTCGGTGGTGTCCTATCAGGGCTCATCGCAAACCCGCACACGTTTCGTAATTGCGCCCATGGGACGTTCTCTGGGCTATGTGGAGCCCACGAATGTGAATCGCACATTTCACACCCATCCGGCGCAACAGCGTGTGGATGTAGATGTCAGTGGTTACGAGTTTCTCAACCTAAGTCCGGTTTATGTGCACCACTAGGCTTAGTTAATGTGTGAGGCCAAATTCTAGTAAATCAGACTAATTTTAAATTAAAGCATACGCGCTGTTTACTCTTTTGGGGCAAATGATGTGAAGTAGGCTTTGCCTTAAATATCATCTTCCTCTTTCTAAGTATTTGTCAAAGTGTTACTTCAGAAAAAGTTTGTGCGACTAACTGCATTACAGAAAATAAAAAAAAAGTCTTATATTTGAGAAAACTACAATGGCACTCGGTTCAGCAAAGGGACTACTCATGCCGACTCCCATGACGGCCATAAAATTTTTAACTTTGAGAGATAATGCGAACCTCCCACTTGAATTCTATGAGAATTGGAATGAGGCGTGGCGCGAACAGTTTTCCAAACCGGAACTGGTTGTGCGGCAAGTGATTGGCATCGAATTTGCGCCGCCAAAGGAGAAACCCGTATCGTCTTTGAGCTCCACAGAGGATTACGATTCGGAGAACACCACAAATGGTAATTTCAGCACACGCTCCCTCCCCGTTCCCCCTCTAGAGTTTCTACCGGACTTTTTTGACTCGGAGGATGACAATCCGTTGCCATTTTATATCTAGTAGAACCTCGTTGTATTTAATTAAAAATTTCTTGTATCCTTCGTTGCCGTCCGTCACACACACTAAAGTGCTTTTCATTACACTTTTCAGGGAATCCTTACCTATCGAAGCGCTGCCGCCTGTGAGGGAACGACTCCGGCTGGCAACTGCGCTCGATTAAGTGTGTCGGCTTCGTTTTTTATACATGATTTGTTTGCGCTGTGCACAGTGGTCTAGAATCGAATAAAAAGAAAACGAATATCTTCAACTATATCTAAATGCAGCAAAATATGTGCTGCCTTTTCAAATTTGTATACCTTTCTCGCTCAAATAAGAAATATATATAAACTCAATAAGTTTTTATATTTTAAGTTCCATTTCATTAGACGAACTTGATTTTTAAGGAACTGAATTGGTTCTAAAATCAATTGGAGAAAATTGATCATCGGGAAACTAAGTCAAATCGATTTGGTTTGAAATCGACAGTAGAAACGTTATGGAATTTACTATAATACACAAATTCAACGATTGCGCTTACATATTTATTACGAGTTTAATTTCATCTTCTCTTGATCTTCTCATCCACCACTGTGGATTCTGTCAGCCTTGGGCGGCAATGCCAATGCGGCCCAAGTATCTAAGTATCCGAGACACTGTTGTCGCCGCGCACTCAACACGACTTTGACCGTCGAAGGTTGGTTGTTTGTTTAAGTGATTTTTTCATGAAGTGTATTTAGCTGATTGTACTATCAATCTCTGTCGGCCTATTGTCAAGCCTTTTTTCACGCACACGCTTTTCTAAATACACAATTATTTTTCTAATGACCGTGCATTTAGTTCGGCATCTAATGCCACCAGCTGTTGTTGGTAAATAGCACTACCAGTATCTGGTGTCAGTGCCGGCCAGTTTGCTGACTGGCCAGTTTGTAGTTTCTGTGGCTTGGCACAAGTTCAAGTTCAATGCTGCCCTTCGCGTTTGATTTGTGAAAATGTAGCGATATTATCCGCGCCAGCAGGCGTTGGTTATCTAAAATATATCTTCAAGGACGATTTGCAAAAATTTTCGCTATATATTGATTGCGTTGGTGGCAAAGCAGCAACAGTCACTTGGCTTCACTGCAAATAGTAGCAACAGCAAAGCAAACAAACCCAACCTATTCGAAATGTTCCGTTTCGTAAGTAGTCTGAACACAAATTAGCACCTAATCAAAGGAGTTATATCTTCAACTAAAACTTCAGATCGCTATCTGCGCCTTTGCCACCCTTGCCGCCGCCGCACCCGGCTTTGTTCAGCAGCATGTGGTAGCAGCTCCATTGGCCACTTCTCATCAGACAATCACTCAGTATCATAGCAAGGCGGTGCTTACACCAGTCGTCAAGCATGTGGCTCCAGTGGTGCCCGTAGTCAAGACAATCGCTCCAGTGGTGCCCGTAGTCAAGACAATCGCTCCAGTGGTGCCCGTAGTCAAGACTATCGCTCCAGTGGTGCCCGTAGTCAAGACTATCGCTCCAGTGGTGCCTGTAGTCAAGACGATTGCGCCAGTGGTGCCTGTTGTTAAAACTGTGACTCCTGTGGTTCATCATCACACCTATGTGGCACCCGCGCCAGTCGTCAAGCACATCGCTCCCGTTGCCGTCTCGCACCAGAGCCATGTTCAGATCCACCAGAAGGCCATCGTCACGCCCGTCCTGAAGACAGTCGCTATTGCTGCCCCTGTGGTGCCAGTTGTGAAAACTATTGCCGCCGCTCCTCTCGCCCATGTCTACCATCACCACCATTAAAGCGGTTATTTGTTGTTAAGCCTATGTCGAGTGGAAATAAACAAATTGTTATATATGAAGCTTATTTTTTCTAAACATGTAGTTTTTATGTTTTCAACATTTTGGGATAAAATAGTAAAGCGCTCCCTTAATTCCGGCAATACCTGAGGTTGGTGGCCATAAAAAAACAACATGAGTTTCTGTTTTTAGTGAAATGTAAATTTCATTTTCTAATCCATCAGTCCTTTTCTAGTTTAATATATTGCACATGTTTTAAAACTTCCATTTAAAAGTGTAAGGGTATAGTGTTTTTGGTATGCAAGCTTGTAACACCTATGTAGACTGAAGAAGGGTGGACGTTATATATGTAACCCGAACGACGACATTAATTCGAAAGGAGATGTCTATAATTACAGATATACTCGTAGCCTATCATATCAATATATGAATATATTTACTTTTGTTTTAGTATATAATACAACAATATTACTTACATGGTATTTGTGTGGTACGAACCCAGTTTTTATACCCTGTACCCGTAGGGTGAACAGGGTATATTAGGTTTGTGCAAAGTATGTAACATACAGAAGGAAGCATCTCCGACCCCATAAAGTATATATATTCTTGATCAGCATGACGAGAGAAATCGATCTAGACATGTCCGTCCGTCTGTCCGTCCGTCTGTCCGTCCGTCTGTCCGTCCGTCTGTCCGTCTGTCCGTCCGTCTGGATGAACGCGAGGATCTCAGAAACTATAAAAGCTAGAATAACCAAAGTTGGCATCCAGATTCTCCTAGGTCCGAGTAAGGACGAGTTTATTTTATTTTTTGGAATTTTCCCCCCCTTCCCCCGCTACAGAATTTCGTCAATAGCGTCCACATTTCAAATGCTATCTAAACCAAACTTTGCACACATAATTTATATATAATTGTCTACTGTTGTTCAAAATTCAAATTCAAATTCAATTCGATCAATTCTAAGAAAAGTTATTAGCGAAACAAATTCTCGCCAGTACAACCCCCCCAAACTGCAGCAACAAGTTCGCTCTTCTTCTTCCTCTTTTTGCTGCTGCTATGGGCGCATATAACTCAGTGACGGAAGTTTACCTGGGTACAGGGTATTACACTGTCGGGCTTGCTCGACTGTAGCGTTCTCTCTTGTTTAATTTCCTCATGGTATACTTGTATATGCAAATCTTAACCATTTAAATACCCGTGTATACACTAAAGTATTTAAAATTTATATATGCATAGTTTATATTTAGTACATTTATAAAATACTTCGGAAGCTTGGTGCATTTTCCTTAAATACAAGTATTCACGAAGATTTAAAGGCAACCTTTAAGTAAAGTAATCCTATCTTACAGCTTAGCCGATTTTGCCGCACTTTCTCCTGATTTTGTTTCGAGACACGCAATCATCTAATGTTTTGGTTACGTGAAGCTGACTGAAAACGTTTGATGATATGTTTGCTTAGAAAAATAGAAAGGATATCTGTACATGTTCACTCAATCCTGCGATTATGCTCTATAATATCTGATTGGGGGAATCAAATTCCGCAAACTTTCGTAATGTGCAGGCTCGACTCAACACACACAACACACAACACACTTTTGCGTTTGTACTTGTATTCGTGGCAAGCCTGTTATCCAATTATCCACACAAATGGAGAAAAATTCAAAATGAAAATGCTCAACAATTCTTTTCAACAACAAACTTGGTTTCGTTTTTATTAAATGCTTTAAATGTTTCAAAAATGTTCCTTAAGCATTGCGCAACATGTTCTCAAAAGATTCACTTGTGGATGTGGGAGTAGATGAGGGGAGAGCTGGCGTAGGCGGTCTTAACCACTGGGACGGAGTGTACGTGGACGAGGGGAGAGACGACAGTTTTGACAACGGGAGTCACAGCCACAGTCTTTACCACGGGTACGACCGGCACCACTTTCTGCACCACAACGGGCTGCACCACCTTGGTGGCGATGAGGCCTGGAGCAGCAGCGGCGACGGCAAGGATGGCAAAGAAGGCAACCTAAAATGTAGCCATCAGATATAAGTTTATGAGTATCCTTTGTGTATAGTCCTCATCCTGTTTCACTTACGAGCTTGAACATTTTGTTTGAGTTGATTTCGGCAATTTGCTTTGAATTGTGAATCGATTGCAACTGTTGATGATTTGCCATTGCGATGGGCGCTTTTATAGCTGATTAACTTTGTCTGCCATTTGGCCGGAGGCATCAGCTCAAGTATTCATTATTATACACATATTTCGCTAAAAGCCTAAGTGTGCACTTAAAATGGACTCAACAACTGGTTCGCAACGATTGTCTAGCAATGTCAAGTTTGAGGGGAAAAAAAAACGCAATTGGCTCGCCGAAAAGTTCGTTAACTGACCTAGGCTTGTGGAGCCATGAGTTTGCGTGCCTGGTAGGAAGTAAGTTCGTTTTATTTTTAGCTTTCCTCAGCTACTTTTTTTCACTCAAACCAAAAGCACGTGATATGGACGGGGGTGGTTCAAGAAGTATTTTAAGGAAATAGAAACACGCAATGTTGGAGTGATTCGTTTTTATTCCAAAAGGATTTTACATTTTTCATAACAAAATGCAATTTGCAATTTTAAAGATGTCTTTAATGCTTGCTAAAAATGAGGCTTTCTATTTCAAAGATTGATCAATTATCCACATAAACTTAGGAATCGGAAGTTACATATTTGTTTAGCAAAATGCAATTTCTAGACATCTTTAATGCCATTAAAAAAATATGATTTCCTGATGATATTTCAAAGATTGGATCATGGATCATGCCAACTATTGTGACCCCGTGTGATCCCGTGAACCCATATTGTGAACTTGGTTTTTATTTGAAAAGGAAGTTACATCTCTCTTAGCAAAATCGACTTCTAGACATCTTTAATATTGGATCATGGATCATCTCAATTACAAGTATTCACGTTAACTCAAGAATCGTAAATTCTTTAAGAACTTCAACAGCCATTTCTTAAGTTATTGTAAATTGCGCCATGAAGTGCTATGTTTGGTCCACTCGATTTTGTTTCGATTACTTAGAATATAAGAAATGTTGATGAATCCAATATCAAATAGATATATAGTATAACTTTTAATTACGAAATAACTTTAAGAACAGTTTGTGGAAAGATCGTTGAAACTGATAAAGCTAGTTACGACTTATCGAACAGCCCTCGTAATTGAATTTTTTATAGTTATTTACGCAAATGGCTGTGTGTGGGCCAAGTGGTGACTGGGAGCGCGCATCCGTTCTTCATTATTATTTATGCTGGCTGCATCTTCGTACTCGTACATCGACGCTTCGTCACTCTGTCATTGTCATGGGTTATGTGGCATTTGAGAGTATACGTATTAGTATTAGTCTTGCCATCGTCTTGGCATTTTGCAACGTTTCAATTGGTAATTGAGTTGCAACGACTGTGTTATGAAATTTCGTTATGTGCGTGTGCGTCAATATCTGCGTAAATGAGTTTTGTCTGATGCACAGACAATCGACAATCGAGTGTCTGTCGACTACAATGCTATATAACGTAATGCAAGTGGATCTAATGGGTACGTGTAAGTGTTCTGGTATTGGTGACCTAACATTACGAGAGACGTATAGAATGTGACCAGACAATTTCTAGGCTACTCGTACTCGTACTCGTGCTCGTACATATACTTGTAAGAAGCAGTTGCAATTATGATTCAAGTCCAGGAACATAAAAATTGTGCAACATAAGCCACTGCTGACCCAGTTATGTGCCAGAATATCCAACCCATATATGTATGTACAATATAAGTAGTACACTGCCAGAGCATGCATCATTATAAAGGCATGAAGAAACCGAAATAAATTATAACTGTAGCATTCAAATTTGAGCTGCGTTGCAACATCGGTGCAGATCACGTTAAATGATTCATGGTCAGCATCGAGCCGCCGATCAAACACAGACAAAGAACGAGAAGCAGAGACACAAGCCAAGCCGGCCATTAAACGACAACTGCAACTGAAGTTGTGGTCGTCATTGTTTTCGAGCCGGTAAGTGCACACTCGAGGATCGGGCCCTATGTCAAGGTTATTGTGCGAGCCCACACGGCACTTAACCCACAATTTTTGACAACATTTTTTTTTTTCGGGGGCTTGGACGACAGTAACACGTACTTAAGATAAACATCAATGGCATCGAAATGAGAAAAATAAATGCCCAGAAAATTACAAAAAGCAAATTATACACATGTTTCTTCTCGTCCGCCGACTGCGACTTCCACAGTCTGTCTGTCGGTCTGTCTCTCTGTCTGACTGCTCGACAACATCTCAAGAGCTCGTAAATCCTAACTTGTATTGTGGCTGCAACTCAACCGTCTGTCGGCTTTTTCTGTCTACTTACCAGACATAATGTTGGCGTGGTTTTTGTTTTTATGTCTGAATTATGTATTCGATTCAATTACCCGCGCAGTTTTGAGGCCCATATGCAAAATCTGAGGTTGGGGAAATCTTGAAAGCCTTCCGTTTCCTCAGCCTTAGGGCTGTTTTTGTATACCATTGATTCTCTTAATCCCTCTACCAATGACTAATGACATTTTCGCAAATCATGTCGTTTTGTGGGCATGTCTTTTAACGGGTAGGCATTCATTCATCGATAGGCCTTCGGCTAATTAAGCAAATCGAATCGCAGCTTTGTAATGAGTTTGGAGCGCGAAATCGGTTGACAGTGTGGCTATATAAGTACAAGGCATACATTGAATCGGCATGAGTTCTTACTGGAGTTTCGCAGTTGCAAATTCAAACTAAGACTAGATCCAATTTCAAACATGCATCGTGCGGTAAGTGGGAGCGACTCTTTCTCACAGTTGGGACTCAACTTAAATCTGTTTTACTCCATCAGCTGCTGTACTCTCTGGTGATCGTTGCCTGTGTCTCCGCTCATCCCGGCATTTTGGTGGAACACTCCCCTGTGGCCGTTTCACACCAAAGCCAGTCGGTGGTTCATGGACAGGCACATTTGGTAGCGCCTATATCCATTGCTGAGACTGGAGCCGTGTTCCCGATTTCCACCGCAGCTGTTTTGCCACCAAGAGAAATTTCCTTCCATGGTGCGCCTCTAATTAAAGGATTAGCTGCAGCGGCCACGCTATCCATAGTTCCTGCGATTCACTATTAGTCATTATGCATTGTTTTTTGTTGTCTGTTTTTAATAAATGTTAAATATTAATTCAAAGCTGAGTTCGAGTTTATAGGCTATCCGAAGATAGTAAAGGTGTTGTGAGTAATTATTATTCCACTGAACTAAACAAGTAAAAAAGCTAAAGTCGGGTGTCCCGACTTTGAAATACTCTGTACATATATTTACAATAATTACAGAAAACAAATAAGAAAATTTAAAAAAATTTGATCGATTTTACCTTTCTCGGTATTCGAACTCAAGTAAAGGGTATATAATTGCACATATACAAAGCAATTGCGTCTATGTGAGTGTATGTATGTTTATGCGCGTCTATTTGTGTCTATATAAGCATTTTCGCAGTCAACTAAACAGCAACATCAACAACAGCCGCGGGCAGCGTTTGGGCAGCGCTTGGGCAGCGCTGCAACAGCAAATATATTTATGGATATAACTTCTTGTTAAATCGGTCTATCATAGTGAAACTTGGCATACGGACACATAATAACTAACTGGGGGTATTTGCTAAATTTTAGTTCGAAATTCCAAGAAAAACGGGATTTAGAGAAAATCGCATTTGCGGGGGAGAGGGGGAAATTCCAAAATATACATTTTTTGCGTATTCACACAAGGCATCTTGGCCTAAAATTTTGTGTTCCTAGGTCTTATAGTCTCCAAGATATAGGCGATTATACGAATGGAAAATCGGGAAAACCCCCATAGGGGGGAAGTGGGGGAAAAATCAAAAAAAATGAAACAAACTCGTATAGCGTACACACATAAGGCATCTTTGTGCAAAATTTTGTGTCTCTAGCTCTTATAGTCTCTGAGATCTAGGTGATCATACGGACGGACAGACGGACAGTCGGACAGACGGACAGACAGGGCTAAATCGACTCGTCTTGTCATGCTGATCAAGAATATATATACTTTGTGGGGTCTGCCACGCCTCCTTCTGCCAGTTACATTTTTCAGCTCGCGCAAACCTTATATACTCTTGTACATTTCATGTACAGAGTATAAAAACTGCGCTCCTTAAGATCCGTTGCTATGAACAAACAACCACCAATCATTTTATGTAACTCCCAGATTTTGATTTTAATCATAACAGACATTAATGCTGTGATAGTCTCAATATTGGCAGCAGTAGAACAGAATAAACAAATTAAGGCTGTACTTAATTACAAAAGTGGTAGTGCGCCAATCCAGCTTCAAATACATATTTTGTTTACCTGGTTGTTAGACAGATAATATAAATATGGAATGAAGACTGAAAAGTGTAACGTTGAAAGGTGAGGCAGTTCTCGACCCATCTAATCTTTTGATTTCTTATGTTGGAATACCCTGCAACTTCCAGAGAATACATTTATGTCGACGTCGCAAAACAGTTATTTATTTGGAAAACAATTCCCTTTAGCAAGTGGTGTCCATTCTAGGATCTACTTCCCCAGTAGCTATGTATCTCGACCACTCCGAGACTTTCTAAATGCATTGGTCTTAAAAGAAATCTTCTATAAACCGCAATGAAATGTAGGTAATGTTTCTTCTTTTGATAAATTTTTTTTATTGCTGAGTATTTCTCTCACAATCTGTGAAATAATTTGAAGTCGGGCTAATGATGCAGAGTGTAGGCCAGAGGAGCAGTTGCTACGACGGACTTGATCAATGGGGCAGAGTGAACCACAGGAACTGAGTGGACGACTGGGGCGGCATGGACGGCATGAACGACGGGAGCGGCATGGACAACTGGAGCGGCGTGAACGGTGTGGAGGACGGGAGCAGTGTGAAGCGTTGTCTTCAGCACAGGAGCAACTACTGGCTGGACGACAGCCTTGCTGTGCACTTGGGTGATGCTCTGGTGGGAAACGGCCGAAGGAGCGCTGTGCACAACAGTGCCAACTTTGGCCAGGACAGGCTCATGGACCACATGGTGGGTTTCGATGAGTCCAGCGTTGACGGAGGCAACCAGGAGAGCAACGATGGCAACCTTAGGTTAGAAAAAATTGATTGATCTTGCTGTAGCGATGGATTGTCTGTGGACTTACGAATTTGAACATTTTGATGGTTTTGGTATTGGAGTGTTGTTAAAACTCTGAAGTTCGGAGTGTAACTGATAAATCACACTCTTCCCGGGTGCCAATTTATAAGAACGCTTGGCACCGATGTGGACGCGCACAACGAACACAAAACTGGAAATTGTATGTCAGCTAAGAAGTTGAAATCTTTGCGTCACCAAAACAACTAACCACGCCAACAAATTCAATTCGTTGACCTTCACTACGCTTCAAAATCAAACCCAGTTGAACCCCATGCGATAAGTCATTTCTGGTTACTGCTGCTGCAACAACTTTAACGCCTTATCAAATGCGCAGCAAGCGCTTCAAGGTGGACAACAACGTTGTCGTCATCGACTCTTTGAGCCCTTACAATGGCAGGCAGCTGCTATAAAAGCATTTCGTGCAGATACCAGAGAGTATCAGTCGAGCTCGTTTGCTGCTTCAGTCAACACTAAATCATCCAACTCCAAAATGTTCAAATTCGTAAGTCCACACAAATAGAGGAGAACTCTGTCATGAGCAGACTCAAGAACTGTTTCTTACCCAAAGGTTGCCATCGTTGCTCTCCTGGTTGCCTCCGTCAACGCTGGACTCATCGAAACCCACCATGTGGTCCATGAGCCTGTCCTGGCCAAAGTTGGCACTGTTGTGCACAGCGCTCCTTCGGCCGTTTCCCACCAGAGCATCACCCAAGTGCACAGCAAGGCTGTCGTCCAGCCAGTAGTTGCTCCTGTGCTGAAGACAACGCTTCACACCGCTCCCGTCCTCCACACCGTTCACGCCGCCCCAGTTGTCCATGCCGCTCCCGTCGTTCATGCCGTCCATGCCGCCCCAGTCGTCCACTCAGTTCCTGTGGTCCACTCTGCTCCTTTGGCCTACACTCTGCATCATTAGAATCCGAAGAGAGCCCTTATGTACGAGTATTAACATGTGTGATAACAATTACATTATTATTTTTTATTCAAATAAAACATTTCTTCAGTTTTTATAACAAGTTATATAGAAATTCTCTTTATTTCTCTCTATGATAAATAGTTCTTAAGTGTGCGCTTTACGTTGGTCGATGCGATTTATCTCCCTTTTCATATACATGCACCATATTGGATGTATTTGGATTCTTATTTCGATTTGTGAACGAAACTGTTTGAATTTGTGTATTTAAGGCCAATTAATATTGAAAGATTTCTGTCAAAATGTTGTTATGTGGGAAAGTAAAAAACAATAAAAAATCCACGAATTAATTGAAACAGTTGTAATGAAATGCGATAGATTGTACACGTGTAGGCATGAGTCCCACAATGAATAAGCACTTGGTTGGAATCACGCAGAAGCATGATTAAAAAATGTCAAAGTTATCATACAATTTAATAACTGTCCAACCTAGGACAGATCTTAAATGATGATTAATCAGTGATGAGAGAACAGCGCCTGAAACAACTGACAGTCCACCTTACAAGCTCAAGCGCTATATCTTGACAAACTCTCTCATGTCAGCCCTGGTTTATAAAGTGTTTAAAAGAATTGTGTTGCCTACTTTTAGGCTTAGCTGGAAATTATAGGAAAAGAGTCTTTGGAAGTTTTCGCTCGCTATAACATTTAATTTGTTGCATCGAAATGGGTGTCTTGATTTTTTTTTTGTGATTTTTTGTTTGTGTATTCATTAATGACAGGGTACTTGGAATTTTCACAGTTCGATGATAGCAGTATTTGTAAGCAGGAGCTGTTGTGTGCGTATGCGGCAGTCACTAGAAATTGGTCGTTTGCTTAACCAACCACAACATGGCCCAAAGGAGCAATACCCTTCACCAGCAGTGGTGAACCATGCACTTGTGTAATGGCAGCATGCGAGATGGCGTGGGGCACTACGCTGACGACTTGTGGTCCTGCGACAACTGTGGGTCCCCAGATACCGGGTGCGACGAGACCGGGTGCCAGGATGCCGGAAGGTGCGGGCGCTGGTGCTGGAGCGGCGGCCACCAAGCTCAGGAGGGCAACGAAAACACACTACAAGGAGTAGAGCATTAGCATCAGGAAGCATTCGAACAAATTCTAATGCAGTTTAGCACTTACCAGCTTGAACATTTTGTATTGTTGATGGTTTGCAACGATTTGACATGCTTTTGTGTTTATAACTCGGCTATTTATACTGAAAAATCGAACGAGCAGCAACCAACCAACCAACCAATGGCCAAAGCTCGCCCCCGGCTCGTTTAGTAAATAGAGCGCGCTCTATTTGCATCCATTTGTCTGTTGTGTTGCAGTTCAATGCATCGGAGACAACACCTCTGCACTTTTAACAGCACCAGCGGCAGCAGCATGGCAACAAACATTCCACGCTCAATTGCTAGAACCCTTCCGGGGGCAGGTTCTCGACTTACGTGTGATAGACATGTTCTGAGCGCATTGCTGCTGCCCGCTGTCGACTCACAATTCGTTCTTTTCCGCTACGCTAAGTGTGTAATGTGATCGCTTATGATTTATTTAGCAAGTCGCAGATGCCATGCTCATACATAGATATACTATATGGTATGTATGTACAAGTATGTGGCTGCAGCTTAGAAGCGAGCGAGCATTGTGCATTGGCAAGTCGTGCAACGTGACGTATACTTAATATTGTCGTTTGCTCTGCACCGCCGCCGGCAGTCTTTCAACTGCACATGCAATTAAGCAAACCATTGCAAATGCATAAAAATAGTAACAAAAGAATCGAAATCGCTTAGGGAACTGGTCTGGCCTGACCTGGACAGGTTGGGCCAGACTTGGCACTTTGCACTTTTTCTTTGCACAAATTAAAGCATTAGCGAATGATTAATGATTGGCGAATGCTGAAAGTATTTGCAGAAAGCAGCAACCAATTGGCCAATTGGACAGCCAAAGATGATGCGGCCTTTGTCTGAGCAGATTGGAGCTCAACTATCTGGACGCATTGACAATTCAAAACTCATTCCTACAACTGTCTGCAAGTGTTTGGCTGACAAACTGAATCAATTAGCAAGAATTGCAGTTGACTTTTTAGGAAATCAACTGCCTTGCCAATCCATCAATAATCTACAGCTGCATGCTACCTTGCCAATTGTCTTCTGACATTTGCTTGCTGGTCAACGAACCACCTCGTTAACAATACCACAACAAACAACAAACAATGTAAATAGTTCCTTGCTATACAGCTAGGAACTATTCACTATCAGAGGCTACACTTTATCCCGTGTAGAGCGTCTCTGAGAGAACAAAAAAGGAAACAAACCAATGCTTAAATTTCCAATTTCATTCTGATTTTATTTCTGAAATTCCTTCAGTATTTATACAATTTTTGTCTTATTTACTAGGTTTTTTCTTATGTACTTATAATTCAATATTTGACTCTTTCTTATTTTCTAAACATTGTACTTACTCTAATTTTACATTTTTCGTCTTATTCTATCCTAACGGTGTCAAGTGGATTTCCCCTCCATATGTATATTTCAAGCCTTTCTTAAACGCAGTGTGCACCCACCCTTAAACGCTGTCGCGGTCCTATTTGCCTATGCATTTTCTGTTATCTACTATGCGTTGGTCTGTACCACTGCTGCATGCGGCTATTTTTAGACCGAGATTTGTTGTTTAGCCTATCTACTGCTTGTGCTCCCTATGCTAACTTCTGAGCTCTTGTTCACTTTTGTGAACATCTTGCGCAGGGCAAACCTAACTGTCGCTGGCGACTAAACTATGTTCACTTTTGTGAACATCTTGCGACGGGCCATAATGCTTATTGACTTATGCTTCTAATTGCATCCAAGAATCAAGTTGTATTTCTCTTTCCACTTTGTCCAAAAACGGATTTTCTTGCTTGGTACCAATTTCCATCGGTCCAATACTGAAATCCCTTTGTTATATTCCCGATCTATGCCTTCGAAAAGCGGTTCGTGAATTCGAAATTGTGCTGGCTTTAAACTGTTCTCTAATTCAATGCTACTGTCTAACCTGTACAGTGGCCCGGAGTTCAGTATTGCCTTGATTTGCACTAGTGACGTACTTATTTTCTCGTACGTTAGAGTGCGTTCTTTTATTATTTTGTTTTGGTAATTTTTTACTGAATCTACTGAATCTACCCCCGTTCTTTGGATTCCTCCGAAGTGAGGACTTGCCAGAGGGATAAGGTGAAATTGTGGTCTTTCTAATTTTAAACCAACAGTATTTGGCTTAACTGCAGTTGTCTTTTTTACAGACACACTTTGTGCTGCTTGTACAATGGAATTGGACATTTTCTCGATCTTTAAATTTGCCTGTTTGTATTGTGATTTTGAAATTACTTTTTCATTCGTTAATTGGACGAAGTCTGCACCTACGAGCTCAGGGGTTTTTATACATTGGACTGAGGATAATTTATCGTGACATTCTTTGGTGTCTGTTTCCTCAGAAATTCCTAATTGTGGTTGTATAGTAATAGAAGAAGAAGTAAATGTCTCAGCACCGACAAAATCATATTTTTCTTCGAATTTTAAATCTTTTGATTTTGGGACCAATCTTTCTTCCGTTGATTGAACAAAATCTGCTACTATGGGCTCAGAGGACTTTTCCAATTCGAATGAGGTTAATTTTATGCCTATTTCCTCACAATGATTGAAGTTGCCTTCTTTCTCAGTCTTTTCTTCTGAGACTTCCCAAAAACACCTAAATTTAGGAAACTCTATCGTTTCCTCAAACGCCTTTTCTGAGACTTCATTTATAACATCAAATTTAGGAACATCTATCTCTTCAGTAGCTTTCACTGAGACTTCCCAAAAATCCCTAAATTTGGGAAAATCTAATTTTTTCTCACAGGCTTTCTCTGAGACGTCTCCCATAAAACTAATTTTAGAAAAATCTAAGTTTTTCTCAGCAGCTTGGTCTGAGATTTCCCAAAACTTTCCTAAGTTTACGGTAATTGCATCTACTCTATCTGCCTGTGGGGTCTTAATTTGCATTGTTTGTATTGCCTGGAGATGTTGTTCGAGAAACTCCAAAACCTCTTCTAAGGTTTGGATTTCTTTTGTTCTCCTAGTGTACTGTTCATATTGTTGTAGTCCTGCCCTATCGAATTTTCTTAAAACTATCCTAGCCCATACTATATCTGCTTCTTTTATTCCTGTATCCATGCCGTTTATGGCATGAATACATTGCCTAGTAGTATCTAGCAGGCCTTGGACACTTTTTTCCGACTCACTATTCATTGTGGGCTGATCTAATAGTTTGTCCATGTGGTAGGAGAATATTTGTCTCCTATTTTCGTATCTATCTTTCAAAATATGTAATGCCGTTTTATAATTTTCCCTTGAGATTGGTAGATGCTGTATTAGGGAACTCGCCTCCCCCCTAACTAGCTCTTTTAACCTTATAAATTTCTCAACTTCGTGCAAGTTTTTGTTCTTGTGTACCAAGTTTCCAAACATATCTGAAAAGGCTGTCCACTGTGCTATATTTCCAAAAAAGGGATGAATTTCAATTTCTTTTAATTTTAATGTGCTATCCGTGCTTTTGTCTTCATTAATTTCTTTCATTTTACGTAAAAACCGTCCTTCTACCTCCTCCAACATTTGCCCTATTTCGTTCTCAGTGCTAAAGGGGTCTTTTTCCAAGGTTTTTATACTCTCCTTTATTTCCTCAAACTTCCCATCTAAGAATTTCTTCGCTTCCGGCGCCTCTAGTCCTACGTGAAAATCTCCACTAATCTGCCTGCCAAATCTTTCGGCCTTGGCTATTACCGTATTTCTTTTCTTTTCCCACCTATGCCTGGCTTCGTCTTGAAATGGGGATGTGGCTGACATGCTTGTCTCCATTGGAGCTGATGGTACGTGTTTTTTAGGTTTGTACCTAGCTAGGCAAGTCATTATATCCCCTCTAACCTTCATCACGTTCGCCCACACGTTCTTTTGGAAATAGTCTACCTCGCCAAGACTTTTCTTGTTGTCCTCTAGGATCTCATGCCTTTTTTCGAATTTTTCCCAGAGCTTCTCTAGTTCTGCTAAGTGCTGTGAGTTTTCACACAACGTTTTCTCTCCTAAATTTGTTATATTTTCAATCTCCCTATAAATCGTCTGCTGCTCTACTAAGAGATCTTTTAATTGATCCCTTGTCAACACCATCTTGTCACCTTTGGTATTCTTATTTTTTTAAACAAAAAGTTTTTTTTTTATTTATTTACAATATTAATTGTTTTTTTTTTCCAAGTTATTAATAGTTGTTTTTTTGCGTCCAAACCTTGTAGGGCTTAGCTTCCGCTGCTTCTTCGTCTCTCTTGCGGCCCAAACCTTAGGGATCTGGTCTGTTGTCTTCGTTCTTCGACCCAAACCTTGTAGGGATTTGGGACCTGATGTCGTCCTTCTTCGGCCCAAACCTTGTAGGGATTTGGGACCTGCTTTCTTCTCTCGCTTCTCTCTTCTTCGTCCTTCGGCGGCCCAAACCTTGTAAGGGATCTTTGGGAACCGCTCTTCTTTGACCCTCTTGCTTCTTCGTCCTTCGGCGGCCCAAACCTTGTAAGGGATCTTTGGGAACCGCTTTTCTTTCACCCTCTTGCTTCTTCGTCCTTCGGCGGCCCAAACCTTGTAAGGGATCTTTGGGACCGCTCTTCTTCGACCCTCTTGGTCCAAACCTGGTAGCGGTTTGCAGGGGTCTTCCTTCTGGTTTATCGGCCCAAACTTATCAGAAGTTTGGCAACCGATTTTAGTTTCGTCTTTACTAGACTCTGTATTCTTTCCCTTCCTACTTTAAAGGCTATGGCCTTAATGGTTCGGCTTTTGTTTTCGCCTTAAATTTTCATTTTTTGATTCTGACACCTTTCGGTATCTAGTTCGGATGGGCCCGCTATTGCCGACCTCGCCGTTTCCTTGCTCGAAGGACCAAAATGTAAATAGTTCCTTGCTATACAGCTAGGAACTATTCACTATCAGAGGCTACACTTTATCCCGTGTAGAGCGTCTCTGAGAGAACAAAAAAGGAAACAAACCAATGCTTAAATTTCCAATTTCATTCTGATTTTATTTCTGAAATTCCTTCAGTATTTATACAATTTTTGTCTTATTTACTAGGTTTTTTCTTATGTACTTATAATTCAATATTTGACTCTTTCTTATTTTCTAAACATTGTACTTACTCTAATTTTACATTTTTCGTCTTATTCTATCCTAACGGTGTCAAGTGGATTTCCCCTCCATATGTATATTTCAAGCCTTTCTTAAACGCAGTGTGCACCCACCCTTAAACGCTGTCGCGGTCCTATTTGCCTATGCATTTTCTGTTATCTACTATGCGTTGGTCTGTACCACTGCTGCATGCGGCTATTTTTAGACCGAGATTTGTTGTTTAGCCTATCTACTGCTTGTGCTCCCTATGCTAACTTCTGAGCTCTTGTTCACTTTTGTGAACAAACAATCTGTGGCACAAAAACCACACGCCAGTTTGAAAGCAACGCACAGTTTCAGGGTTAAGGCTTTGCCACTGAAAATTAAAAACTTGTTCACTTAATTCGGATTTAATGTGATAAATACACACCATGAGGAAGGAGATGTTGATATATGTACATACATATGTACAACAGATAATTGGCGTCCATTTCAAAGTTTTTTCCCCTCTGCTATTATTTTTATTCACTACACCCACAGCGATTAACATCTTTATGTTGCTTTTTATGGACAAACAAAGATATGCCTAATTGCTGCGCTGGCGATTAATGCAATTTATTAGCTTAGCATTATGGATAGTCAATAAAGTTGACATTTCGCCGAGCAGAAATGATAATGACGTGCGGATACAGTGCCCGCTCCAATCATTGAACACGAGGAGGTTTTGAAATATTAGGAATACTCGCATTCAAATCGTAGTTAATCGTGTATAATATTTCTAATATTTCTGAAATACTTTTCATCTTATTATAAATGCAGCTTTTTATGCACCCTTCCTTTACTGAACAAATAATTGATTAGGAATTACTATCTACAGTGTGAAAAATAGATAAATAATGTTATTGGTATTATTTATTAAAAACCGTATTCAATTCCTCACAATTAATGCATAATATCTGATTCTTTGGATTTCTTTTTTCACAAGTTGCTTACACTGAGGTGGCACTGTAAATGAAAAACTCAAATATTGTTGTGCACACGAGTATGTGCAATTGATTTTATTTATTGTTGATTCTTTACACCCGTAATCGCTATAATTGGAATATATTTGCATATACTTATAGAATATCTTACGCAAAAACGTGTGTACATTTCAAAGCGCACAAATTGTGTTGCCGGACAACTTTTGATTGTGTGGAGTCTTGAACTTGTTAATACATAGATCAAATGTGTGGACCCTTATGGTCTTAGCATGTCATAACAGAGACCCAAACACACACACACACACACACACACACACACACACACACACGCACACACATGTATTGATGCCACTCACAAAGACCAATTGTGAGGCGTAACTGTTGCTGCAACAGAGACTAGCACCTAGTCCGAGACAACGAGCATGCGGCGGCTCATTTGCATAACACAGAAAATGCATTTATGCTGCCACACAACCACACACATGCGAACACATATGTGTGTTATATGTATGTGTGTGTGTGTGTGAAGATTGGGACAAACCGGCAGAAGAGGGATCAACTTGTCGCTTTGTGGCAGCATGGGAAGTGTGTGCCACGATGCGAGTGTTGATGTATCGAATGGTTTTTTGTTGATTACATATTAATTATGTCACGCAGTCAGTTGGGCAGACTATCCACGTCCAAGTCCACACATAACAGCAGAGCAGCCCCAAATGAGCAAAGCGTAACGGTGGCGTCTGACAGACATTTTAGCATCGTTTAACGTTTGTTAAGCCTTACTGTCTCCATTGGAGATGACGGGCGGTAGAGTGAATGTAAACGTGAAATTGGGCGTGAATAGTTAGCAGAAGCCGTGATTGTGGTGAGGTGCATGGTAGTTGTCACAAAAGATACCCTTAACCCAACCCGTTTCGGCTTTTTTAGGAGAGATTTTCAGAATGTTATTTTCAAATGGGAAGAGTTCCATTATATATGGCTTGATAATACTTAAAGCACAAGGTAAGGTTAGAAGAGGTTAGTTTAGGTTATGTTTGGCAAAAGTAAATTAACTATGGGCTGTTCGGATAGATTATATTTGGGATTAGGATTGGATTGGGCTAGAATAATGAGCGGATAAATCGTCTTTAATTTAAAGGAAATCAGATTATTTTCATGATATTAAAATTTGCTTCAACAGCATATTAGTATGCTGTAGTATGCGGGAAGGACAATTCTAAAAAAATTGAAGTTTCCAATCAACTGAGGTCAATCGATTTTTGTGCCTAGCCTTCACCACTATTTAAATTTTCAAAGTAGTAACAGCGGTGAGAGGTGGTGTGCACTTTTCAACTCACTAATGGTGTTTCCTCAAAATATGTTGCAGTGCCTTTTCATCCTTCTTCGAGCATTCTTCGAGCACTCTTCATGAATGATATGTTTTTGGCAATTTTCGAATTCCTTCCATACAAGTACTCTCAGGAGGAAACAATATGTCATGCAATAGGACAGACTGGTGTTGATTGATAACTTAGTGAGACTGGCATTAGGTATTAAAAATGTTGGTCAAATTACAGTTGATGCTTCAATATCCAAGTTCTAATCAACACCCTAGTTGTACAATCTACAGCCTACATGTGACCATAATTCGTGGAAGTGGACTCATCTCCGTTTCCGTTATGAGCCGCCTGCCAATTGGCTATATGATGAGGATGAAACAAAAGAAGCCACCACGCAGTTGTCTGGTTAGATGACGTGCTGTTGTATAAGCCAGATTGTGAGCTGAATGCGCAATCGAGAATGAGGCTTTTCTCACTGACGTCATTGAGAGGGATTGACAGCGTAACTCATTTCTGTTGGCAAGAAGACGCAAGCACTTCTAGATTTTGGTATCTTTTATATATTCTTTGTTTCTATTAATACAGGCGGCAACTTCTACAACTTGCATCAATGCGTTTGTACATTATCGTTATCGTCATTATTATTATTTTTTTTTAATTTTTTGGCGCTACAACTAGCGTAGAGTTTCTGTACACACACAGTAATTACCACAGCAGACATACACGATAGATATAGTAGAGTGGGGGGAAGCGATGAGAAAAGATGCAGATACAATTCGTGTCGTTTTAGTCTCGTTAGCGATTTGGTGGCGCCTCAATGGAAGTGATGGAAATCGTGGAAGTCGTGGTGATGATGATGGAACGGATCGAACGGATGGTATGCCTTGATAATTGGCGCCGGATGGTACGTCTTGATGATGGGATGCACCACAGTCTTGACCACTGGCACCACCAGCGGCTTAATAATGTGATGTGGCACGCTGTGCACCACCGTGGAGCTCTGATGTGAAATGGCCGCGGGCACATGCACGATCTTGGCCACATGCAGCGGTTCGTGGTGGTGGTGCGGGAAGAATGGGTAATCCGGATAGTGGTGATGATGTCCGTGCAGAAAACCAGGACGTGCCATGGCCAGCGCACAAAGTGAGAGCAGCGGCAGTATCTGGGATTTAAGGCTTCATTTGATATCCTAAGTTGCGTTCAATGTAAAAAGACTTACCACTTTTAACATGATGTGAGAGAGATAGCGGGAGGTATGTACTTAATCGCCTGTTATGCTGCCGACACGTGACGCGACTATGTTGAAGATTTGAAACTGATGCCACCAGCGTGTCTGGCAGTGCCTTTTATACACTTGCACTTATTTCTATTAGCCACATTGCTGCAGCTGCAACCGTAATGGCGACTGCATCGGCAACTGCAACGGCAACGGCAACGGCAACTTCAACTGGTGCCAAATGCCGCCACCGTCAGCGATTGTTGGCCGCTGCATTCGCTGCCACTCAGATGCTCTCATTGTTTGTTTCGATTACCAACTCCAACGCCGCCAACATCAGCCACTTGCCATATCCGTTTTGCCGTTGGTTGCGCTGCCGGCGCCGCCGCCGCCACCGGCCCCGGCACATGGCCACCTTGCATGCAACTTTGCATCCGCAGTTGCTACCGCTGCCGTCGCTGTCGCTGTCGCCGTCTAAGTCGTCTTCGGCTCTGCTGCCACGACTATAATTGCCGTTGTTGCCGCTCGTTGGATTGTTGCTGTATTTTCAAATGTGGCTGCTTGTCTGTGTTTTTTTTTTTTTTTTGTCTTCTCATACAGTTTTGTCAAACGTGGCAATTGTTTGTCTACTCTCGCGTTTGCCATCGACCCTTCTATTTTACTTTGAACTATGCAGCGAATACACTGCCACTAAACATATAGCAACTATGGCTTAATAGATTCGATAGAAGTTTCAACCATCATACAACTTACACTCAATGGTAGATAATGAGAAGAGTTACTTTGCATCATTTTTAACTGAAATGAATGCTTGCAATGTGAAGAGGATTCTCCTGTCAAAATTTGATAGAAATGAGTGTAACTCGATCAAAAATTCTACAAGGATGTAGAATGTCAGGCTGTTGCTGATAGGCAAAAGCTTCTCATAGCCTGTAGAAGAAGAACATTGTCTAACAGTGGCGAACATTGTGTAAGAAAGAGAAGTTACAATCTGGTAGAGAGGTGTTCTATGGTCTTAGATTATAATAATTTCATATACTATATCAAATCTTAAGTCCGATGGAAAGTCCGGTAAGTTGTTAATAGCCCACTGCTAACATTTTTGTTTAGGTATTCGAATGCGCTTCCCTCATATGAGTTTTTGTAAAAGGGTTGGTAAGAAAATAAGGAGGAAAAGAGATGTTTGGAATGCCAGTGTGAAAGCTAATGGTTCCTTGTTTGTAGCTGTCGGGTTCTTAATTATGTATATAGTAGTTATATATGTGGGGATTGGCAAAATGTTTTCTAAAGGGACGTCACTCTCAGTACCAAAATTAATTATCTTCCTATACTTGTATAAGGTACTTACTGAATTTTTATGTTAATTGAAATCGTGGAAGAGGGGAACTACAAGAGGGGTAAACAAGAATCGGGTGCGCACGACTCTAACATTTCGCTCCTTTTTAATCGACTCATACTATAATGCAAACTTCAGACTAGGGTTCTTGCTCTTCAATGCTCTTCCTATTTGCAAACTCTGTGTTTTCAGTCTTTATTGTTTCTGTGTGCCTTTTGTATGAGCCCTGCATGGTTGTTGTTACGATTTTGTTGTAACTACAACAATTGCAATCGGTAATTGTTGTCAGCATTAGAGACGCGCGATGCTCGCTTCTGCCGCTTATATATTTGAATCGCAATTTTCGCCTCAATGTCTTTCAGACTAGCTGGCGGTGCAACTGTCTGGCTATGTGTTTTATACCGTTAATATGTCTTATTAAAGCTGCTGGCTCTGTCACAGCCCAGCACAGCGCAGCGCAGCACAGCCGGCGTTGCTTGCAACACATGCAACATAATTTATGCCAGTGTTACATTTGGCCGCAACGACCTTGAAGCTTGAAAATTGTTGTTGTTGAGCAGACAAAAAATTGTATTTGTGTTTTTGTTTCTTTGTTTTGTTTGGCTATTAGTCGCAACTTTTCGCAAAAGCCACGGAAATTCACACTTGGAGATTTTGTTTTATTTACGTATAGTATGTTCGGTAGCTGTTTTTATAATTTTCGTGCTGCTCACATGAAATTATCTTTTGGTGGCAGCGCTCAGCGTTATCTTCTTGACAATATGTGAAAACAAAAAAAAAAAAAAACACTCGAAAATTCTTAGATAATTAGCTTGAGAATTGGTGTTGTACTCGTACTATAAGAGTTCGCCCAATTGTGTGAAAAAAAGTATACAAATATGTGGACATACATATAGCCTCGATTCGATTTTGCATAAATCTTGAGCCTCTCAGTATGTGCTCTTTAATACGAGTATGTTATGAGCACATAGCACGCAGCCCAGTTGGCCAGTTGGCAAGAAGATTAGCTTGCCTTTAGCTGCAGGCATCAATAGAAGCAACAGCAACAACAATGATAATAATAATAATAACAACAACAACAAGTGGCTCTAATTGCAAGCCGTGGTTCTTTGTGGTGCTGTTTGCTTTCCTAACGAGCACATGAAAATCATCGAGATTGCTTTAATTTTTTTCTTCATGTCATGTCTGCCAACACACTACAAACAGCAACTGCTTTAAACATACATACTTGTATGTACGTAATAAAGATCTATGGCTTCATTTGTTGCCGCCGCACAGTGGGACTTATTCCTAAAAAATCAAAGAGTTGGTACATTTAGTTGATTTTTAAAGAAGGTCAATTCGTTTTTCCCAACTCCTTAAACACATTCCTTGAACTGAACATATTTTGTAAGAGATGTATTTGAACTCAAGAGTTGGGCCCTAATGATATAGATATTCTACTCGATATTGTTCGTCATCTAATGTCTCCGAGCACATTATGCGCAAATAAAACTTTATCGGTCTATCGAATCTGCATCACTTTCTTCAATATTTTCAAGATTTTCAAGTTGGAAAAACACGAACTTAAAACAGTTTATAGAGATTTTCAAAAACATACTGAAGTTTGGAATATACTTGTAGTACAAACAAGCAACTATTTTCAGATTTATTGGTAAAGATTTCACTTTATTTTCCTTCTGACTGTAGATAGGATGTTTTATTTATGTAATCATTTGATAAAATTTAATTTCAATTTATTTTCTGTCCACTGTGCGCAGTTGCTGCGCTGCATTCGGCAAATGTTACAAATGTTTGCATTGATATTTATGCTCGGCCTGCGCAGCGTCATGCACATGGCGAAAAGTTCATGAACAGACGGAATATAGCCTGCTTGCACAGATTGTTCAGTTCAGAGTTTCTGCAATAAACTAGAACACTTGAGAGCGAGCTCATTAGAATGTTGGCTAAATGCGGTGACAAGACAAGCGACAAGTGCGGCGAGTGGCAAGCGAATAAATGTCAACGGCTCTTTAATAGCACGCAGACATGTCACATCAATAGAAAGAGTAATAGGTGTTTGAAATTTAAACGAGCAAGTAGGAGTTTGTTTGCTGACACTCATAAATTAATCAAGCCAGCAGTTATTTGCATTTTGTGATCGGATTGTGGTTGTGAAGCAATTCGTTTGGGCTCAGTTTGAAATCGGAGCTGCGGTCAGTTAGACTAGGGGCCAATCTAAACACACCCTGAATTAATTCAACTGCGCTTATCTGGACCAGGAAGCGTTGCATCTGCAAGCGTCTTGGGAGAAAACTCGTTGCAGCGTGGCAAAGTGCTTTGTTGCATGCAAGATATTTAAGACAAATATTTTGCAAGCGTTTGTTTTTTCTTTTCGTATTCATTTAGTTTATTGGGCGCCGCCGTTGCTCTGTCGAAATGGGGTTTCTGCTAAACAGTTTACTGGGTTAGTAGTGCGGCGAGTTTATCGCGCCATTGTGGCCGAACTAGTCTCTTTGCGGCTCAGATTAGTCACCTGTTGTGCGATACATATGTACTATATGTACATACTACATATATGTGCTGCTGTTTAATTGCTTGCCATGTTTTCGTAAGTGGCTACTGCAGTAGCTAATCTGTTGGCCACATCTGCCACACGTATATAATGCGCATACGCTCCGTATGCCGTATGCCGTACGCCATGTGACACCAACACTGCCGTGTTCGCGATCTAAACTCTTTCAATGTTATTGCAATCAAGTAGCACAAATAAACTGGCAGTACTGCAATAATCATGACAAAGCGCATGGCTAACTGCGAACATCCGCTGGCCATCGAGGCTCTCAAATGTGCGCGGTAACATGCCAAAGCCGAACTGATAGACAGTTTTGACCTTAGCTGCAATGAAAAACAAACATTTACCGATACAGTAAACGCTCCCATTCGTACACACATTGTACTCTATTTTACTGGGATAAGTTCCGACTGCGAGTTTGATAACGAGCCTTGGAAAATATGACAAAAACACTTATTGATTTGCTGTGCTCCCCACTAGCTGAATGAGGTTTGTTTAAAAAGATTATTGCAGAATAATTAATGAATTGCTACGAATGCTTAATATTATGGAAAAAACGACACTAAGTATTTTATTAATAAATTGCTCCATTACAGACAAAAAGGATATATTTACAAATTCTTAATTACTTAAAAAAAAAGCTTGCTTTTGAGTGATTCATTAAAAAATGAGATAGTTATAAGTTCAGCTATATTCTAATTTTATTTAATTTCAACACAGAGACTAAAGCCTGGCTAGATTGAATGGAAATTGAAGTTTTTCTTTAATTTGATCGAAAAGAGATTACGGCTTAAATAAAATATACTGCTTGGAAATTGAAAAGTAAATAGTTATTTGCATAAATAATGGGGTGGTTTAAGAAGTCGACCTTTATTACAATGAATTATCTTCAATGGCCAACAATTTCAGAGTCATGAATTTTTCATATTCTTCAGCAACTTGTGTGTGTGGGCTTCAGGTCGTCATAATAGCCCTACACTGTACTTTATTTTGCAAGACAGTCGCTGGCCAGCTGTGAAGTTTTGCAAAACTTATCGCTTAAGCTTTAACTGTGCTAACTATATCAAGTATACGCCATGGTGGTACGGTGTCCGCAATTGTAATTGCAAGTATTCGAGCCAAATGTGCACTAAAATGAATTTTATGCAGCACTTTTAATATTGTTTCAAATTGCTAGCAGACGGGATTGACTGACTGACTGACTGACTGACTTACTTACTATTTTGTGGCATGCAGCTGCAAACACAACAATTTCGCTGCAAATAAATAGGTAT